AAATTAGATACCTGGAAGAGAAGCAACGCCTTAGTTCCCTGCACCAATTAAATCTCAAAGCTAGTCTCACTATCTTTTAGAGAAAAACCAGCCTAGCATATGTGGAAGCGACCTTAGGATATGTGGCTCTTCCCATAAATATAAATCATACTTGTCAGAATCACAATGGCTAAATGTCAATGAATCAAAGGCACCCCCTGACCCCCGGTCTTATTTTGTACCAAACTGATGAATAAATCTTTGCTATTTCAGAAAGACAGCTTTTTCTTTCAAATATGCTGGGCAATAGAAAAAAATAAATTTTTGTGAAAATATTGATGTTGTTTATAACTCTTCAATAAAATGTGATTTTTCAATGTGTTTTTTTAAAAAAATATTTCAGCAACTCATCTCTAATAAAAGTATTTTCTTTTCAGAGAAGATCCGACGATTACAAAGCAGTACAGATGCAAGCTCTAAGAAATGCGCAGTTTCATAGCCTCTTGAAAAGAAATAATGTGTGCGTACCTTTTGACCCAGCGATAAAATTTCTAGGCCTATAGGACGAGATCAAAGACAGAAGAAAAAAACCCAGATATACAAAACTATTTATAACAGATCTTTTTGTAGTGGCAAAGAACTGGAAACTAAGGGGGTGGGGAGTACCCAACAATTGGGAAATGGCTGAACAAATTATGCTATATGAATGTAAGGGAATATTACAGTGATGTAAGAAATGATGAAAGAGACAGTTTTAGACAAACCTGAGAAGACTTTTATGAACTGACATGGAGTAAAAAGAGCAGGACAACAAGAACAATTGCTAGAGCAACACTGCAATGAAAAACAACTTTGAAAGACTCTGATCAATGCAATGACCAATCATGATTCCAAAGAAAATGATGAAGTTGCTATCTACCTCTTGATACAGAGATGATGAACTCAAGGTATAGAATTACATACATTTTCAGACATAGTTAATGAAGCAATTTGTTTTGCTTAACTATGCATATTTTATTTTTCTTTGTTTCAATTTGGGGAAGGAGTGGGATTTGGGGAGGAAGAGGGGAAATGTGTGGAAATGGTCATCTTAATTTGGTGTTAAATTCAGAATAAAAAAAATTGTGTTCCCATATTGTTATGGCAACTACAAAAGCTTAAAACTGCCCTAGCACTTTTGGAACACCCTATGAAAATTTTTTTTTTAAAAAGAAAAATTAAGTAAGAATGACTTCCCACCTAGAATAGCATTGTAAAGGTTTTTGGGAAACAGTGCCTATTTTCCCTTTACCCCTGAAGACAAAGAGGTCAAGACCTTTCAACAGAGTGAGAAAAGAAACAATATTACTTTAGTTCATCCCTCTCACCATTTGTTTTTATTTTAAAAGAACATTCAGGGAGAACAGCTGAAATTAAAATAATTCAACTTCTCATGCTAAATTACATAAACTGCTCAATTTCTCTTGGTAGAAACTAATCTGGGTAAAAGTGTTAAAAACAAGGCTAAAGACATGTAAAAACCAATAAAAACAACAACCAAAAAATATATGACCCAGAGCATTAGTATTACATTGTTCAAAGTTAATAAATATCCTTGTTATTAACATTGCTTAAAAAACTCAGAACAGTTGGTAAATGTTATGGCTGGTTAGGGCTTGACGGTTATTTTTTTTGTTTGTTTAAATTATTTGCAGAATGAAAAATCTATACATTATAAGCCCACGGACTGTCTGAATTTGTGAACCACAACTCTTTTATTGAATATTTAAAGTGAAACTATAGTTTATCCTGATTACAACCTGTAATAAGTTTTTTTGGTAGTTCTCTACTTTAGAAGCATACTTCTAAATCATGTCATTATGTAATGATATAAATTTATTTAAATGAGTTAGACAGGAAATCACATACCATTTATCTTAATGTCCCCAACAAAAGAAGAAATGATAGTGAGCAAGGAAATAGTTTGGTTTCCTTCTGTAACAATAACATCATTTGCAATGATGTTAATACAGTATCATCAAGTTCAATCAGTATCATTTACCCTTTTCTTTTCTTATGTTGCTCCAAGGGACCTAAAATGCCCTTGTAATGCTATTTTTCCTAATGTGTGAAATTAATTAATATTAGGTTCACATTATAGACTGTGATGTGAGATACTCTGGTTCCCTTAGAGGTCAAGAAACCAAGCACCAATGATCAACTGTCTCATGAGAGAAACCACAGAAGCAGAGATGGGGGTCATCGCAGAGGTTATCATTCAGTCTAACCAAATGAGAAAAACCTCTACAACATATCCAAGTGGTCATCCAGCCTTTGCTTGAAGACCTCTAATGAGGGAGAATCCCTCTGACTTTTAAGGCAGTTCATTCTACTTTGGGTTACCTCTAATTGCTAGAAGTTTTTCTTTATATCAAGCTTAAATTAGCCTTTTTGCAACTTCTTCAGATTGCTCCTAGAACTCTAATCCCTCTTCTTTCAAATTTGAAGACAGTCATCCTGTCCTTTCCTCTTGCCATCCCCACAACTCCCACGTCTTCCCTTAAAACTAAACTAAACATTGCTTGCTTCTTCAACCCATCCTCATATGGCATGAACATGAGGCCCATCGCCGTCATAGTGGCCTTCCTCTTGATCTTCTCTAGTTTATCAGTATCTTTTTTTTGAATATGGTACCCAGAACAGAGTACCATACATTAGCAGTGGTCTGATGCGGGCAGACTGTAGCAGGACTATTCTCCTGGACTCTGTACCATACTCCTTCCTATTCATAGACACTATGCCTCCCAAAGTAGCTTTAGATTACATTATCTTTTTTTAGCTGCCATAATACATTATTGATTCATATTGTACTTACGGTAGCATGGTTGGACCAATTCATAGATGCATTGACATTGTAAGTGTGCTTGTCTCTCCACAGCTTCTTCAACATTATTTCCATTTTTATCTTTTCCAATTTGGTGTGTATGCAGTGAAACTTGAGTTTTTTAAATGTCTCTAATTATTAGTGATTTGGAGCATTTTTCGTATAATTGTGCAAAGTATGTTTCTTCTTTGGAAAACTGTTACTATCATTTGACCACTTAGGAGAATATCATGTATTTTTATAAAAATATTTATCTTATATATCAAAATTGTATAAAGATATTTGATACAATAATTTTTTAAATTTAAGTTTCTTCTATTATTCTAGCTGCAGTAATTTTGTTCAGGAAAAAACTTTTAAATTTTAGGTAATGAAAATTATCTATACTCTATCTCTCTCTTTATCTCTCTCTCTCTCTCTCTCTCTTTCTCTCTCTATCCTTTGGTTAAGAATTTTCCCCTACTCATAGTTTTGACAGGTTCCTTCCATTCTTCTTTATTAAAAAAAAAAAAGTGTGATCTTTTATATGTAGGATTGAGGTCCTGTATCCATTTATTCATACAGTAGTATATGCTGTAAGATGTGGGCCCAAACCTGTTTTCTGCCAAATTGCTTCCTTGCATATCCAGGAATTCAAGTTGAATAGGGAGTTCTCCTGGTAGCTTTTTACTGCGTTTATCAATTGCTGTACTTCTGGATCTTGCTTATCTGGTGTGTTGCTCCCTCTCCCTCTACATGCCCTCTCCCATGTTTTTTCAATTGGGTTGCTATCTAGCCTTTCTTCCCTTCCCTTACATTTGTAAAGATTTTTTTTTTTGATCCTTCATTACCCAGTGTTAGCTATTTCTCCCAGCCTTGGGTCATCTGCAAATTTGATAAGTTTGCCTTTAATCAAATCATTGATAAAATGGTTTAAAAGCACAGAACTGAACCACTAGAGACTTCCAAGGTGGCACTGAATGATTAATGCCTCGTCTTTGGATCTGGCTATTCATCCAATTTCAAAACCACTTAACATCATCTAGCTCAAGGGTCAGCAAGCTACAAACTAGTTTAAGGGGCAAATCCAGCCTACTATGTGTTTTTGTATGCAACTTTATTTTAAAAATGTAAAAAGCACTCTTAGCTCATGGGCAGTATAAAAACGGTTGGTGGGTTGGATTTAGCCCACAGGTTATACTTTGCTGACCCTGATCTAACCTACGTCTCCATGTTTACAAGAACAGCATGGGATCATTTATCAAACCGTTTGCTAAAATCTAGGTAAAACATGTTTACAATAGTCCCTTTATCTACCAGTTTAATAACCATGTCAAAAGAGGAAAAGAAGTCAGTCTGGAATGGCATGTTCTTGATGAAGCCATTTTTTGATCATTGCTTACTTTTATAGGTATTTCCTGAGAATTTTTCCAAGGGATTAAGGTCAAGCTCTCTACATAGTTGTTGAACACGATTCTCTTTCTTTCTTTCTTTCTTTCTTTTTTTGATAATAAGATCTATATTTGCTCTTGTTTAGTTATGCAGTACTTTTTCCATCCAACATGATCTTGGTTCTGTTTTTGCCTCTGAAGATGATAATGGCAAGATCCTTTAGTAGAATGAGAAAGGGAACAATATTGCTTCAGTCCATCCCTCTCACCCTTTGCTTTTATTTTAAAAGCATTCCCAAATGACGGGTACCCTCTTAGTTTCCAGTTCTTTGCCACTACTTGGGAAAGACAAAACTTGGGAGATATAGTTTACCTGGGTCAGGTGATTTGAGCTCATTGAAGGCAGTTAGGCACTCTTTATTATCTAAATATTTACCTTGGGTATCAACTCCCTATTAGTCAGATTTTGGGGGTTTTGTCCTCTGGTCTTGATTTCTCAGTCTTTCTTCTTAGTTTCTTTGACTTAAATCCATCTCTTCCTTCAGCCCTAGCTGTTCTCCTTCAACTACTTCTCAAGGCCTCCACATTCAATGTCTGGCCTTTATTCCTAATTCCAAAACACTCTAAATCTTTCACAATTTTTTCATTAGCTCAAGTGCTTTTCTTGTTCCTTCTCCTACATGACACCCCCATAAAGGATAGACCTTTTTTTTTTGGTTAAGAGAATCGTGGTTTATACAAGTGGAAGTAATGACAGAAGTTCGACGCCAGACAAACATATAGACATATTTAATTTATAAAGGCATATATTCAATTTATTTCTTAAATAAAGGATTATTAACATTAAAATAATTTCTGTATATAGTTACAAAGGATATTTTACCTTCCTCAAAATACATTTTCCATTGAATCAGTCTCTGGTTCTGAAAAGGTGACCATGATGTTATCCACAGTGTTTTGCTATGCCAGCCTAAGCTTCACTGAGAAGTTCCAAGATAGCAAATCCATGGGAATTTTTCAGCAAGGGAAATCAGGAACTGAAAAAAAAATCACCTCCTTTCTATATATACCTATATTCAGTTCAGTCAACCACCTTTATGGAGTGAGAAGCCAGAGCGGATGTCTTTCCACTGGGTCCTGTGTGTCTTGAAGATGTGCCGCTCGTTTCGTGGTGAATAGTGCGAGGGTATTTTGCTGCCAGAGCTTGAGGAATGGTTTGCTGAAAGAGAAAAATCCACTCTAGTGAAATGCAATACAATTCTGCATCATTTTTGTAGTGCTAAAACTGACAAGAAAATAGAATCTTCCATCTTTTATAGATTCTGAAGCTAGGAAGAGGCTCTATAGTGCTGGGAAGAATATCAGGGATGGTTGAGGCACAGCCCTTTCCCTCAAGGTGGACAGATGAGAATGGAATTCCTGGGGCCACAGCAGAGATCCCAGGCATCCTCTGGTGGAAAGGTGCCATATGCCTCAAAAGACAAAACACTGGGCACACAGGCAATACCACTGTATCCAGGAAGAAAAGAATCATTGCTTTGCAGGTAGATGACTTTTTTTTTAATCATCTTAGGTTATTTTCACTTGAAAGTAGTGCTGTTCCAACTAATTTGGATACCGAATAACTTGATGCAAAATGAGGATAATTGCTAACCTGTAATACAACTAACCCTGTGCCCTGGGTTGTTGTGCAGAAAGTGCTTTGCAATCTTAAAGCAGAGATGTAAATAAATCTTGACGCAGATGCTGCGTCAAGGATCTGTGATTTCACTCCTGTTGATACTCTCCCTAGTAATGCAAATCACAATCCCCTCTACAACTTGGTGGCCCAGTCCTTGTGTTGCTGTTGCTTCTAAGCCTTTCCTGCTTGGTGAGATCTACTTGAGCCTTCAAGTTCCCTGCCTCAGCTTCCTATCACAAGTGAAGCGCCAGAGGAAAACAGTGTAGGAAATAGTAAAGATACTAATAAGAAAGGCTGGTGGGTTGTACCACCGTGAGGGGGAAAAATCCAAATGTTGTATATTTTATATTTTGTACTTTTTTTCATTGAGAGGAAAGAGATCCCAAGTCTGAAAAGATGCAAATTCTTGATTATTGTCATTAGGGCAGTAAAACTAGCTTGGTAGGTCACACATTCGGCACTGGATTTATAATGGAAATGTGGCCTTTAACAAAATGGTTGCCTATGTTAAAAATAAGCACTATTAATCACTACAAACATATTTTTATTATATTCTTCTATTATATTTATATATATACTATATATATTATATATTTATATATTCTTCTATTGATATTTATCTTAAATAATTCTAAAAAATTTGATCAAAATATTTACCATAAATTTTACAAAGCTGAAAAACATATTTAGTTTCAATTAAAAGTAATCTGACTCAGTTAAAAATAAATTTTTTTCCTATGTGTGACTCCATTAAAAATATTTCAGCATTACAACTAAGAATTCTAAGTGACTCTGGGAAAGTCATTTCACTTTTCTGGGTCTCACTTCCTCATCTGCAAAATGGTGGGTTAGACTTGTGGTTGATCTCCAAGGACCTCGCCAACTCTAAATTTATGAACCTATAATCCCAATTGACTGGGATTTACTCACTACACTTGAAAGTTCTTCTCTAAACACATTTTCTTGGGAGTTTCTTTATATTTAATAAACTTTAAAACTTTTTTGCAATGCTATTTGCTCTTTCAGAAAAGTATTTATTGAGTGTTTATTATGCTAAAAGCATTGGTCTAGACATTGAGAGGCATACAATAAAGAATAACATATTGATCTTGCCCTAAGAGAGCTTAAAGTAAAGCAAACTACAGGACATGCTTGTAAAACGTAGTTGCTAGCAAATTTATTTGGTGCCCTTTTAGAAGAGCTTTACTTCTCTCTTGTGGAAGGTAGGTGAGAGAAAAAAATATGAGTGGATAAAAGTTATCACTGGTTTTGTGCTTCTGAATCTCCTGTAAATTGATAATCAAACAGGGTAAAAAGTTGTAGTAGGTGACCACTTACCTAGCAGATGGGGCTAGAGCATTAAATATGATTCCTAGTTTGATATTATTATTTGTTGTCATTCAGTTCTTTTTCATTCATGTTCAACTCTCTGTATCCCCATTTGGGGTTTTCTTAACAGAGATACTGGAGTGATTTGCCATTTCTTTCTCTAGCTAATTTTACAGATGAGGGAACTGAGGCAAACAGGGTTAAGATACTTGTCCAAGGTCACACAGCTAGTAAGTGTCTGAGGCCAGATTTGAACTCAGCAAGATAAAGTCTTCCAAAGTCTTCCTGACTCCAGGCCCTGGACTCTACCCTACTGCACCACCTCCTGCCTCAATTATTGGTTCTGCAAAAACAATCCTTTAAAAATGGAGCTAGACTAGTGTTAATTAATTTACATATTCCACAGCATACCAAATAGAAGTAGTCTGTGATAATCTAATTTCAGTCTTCATAATCCATAACCTGTTAATGAACACAAACTATACATTCCTGAAAGGGAATGTCATGACTGACAGAAGTTGGTAAATTTAAATTTAAATCTCTGTCCTAGTGAGAGCTTGTGTGAGTAATTTATTTTTTGGTGCTTGAGGTGTTTTTTTGTTTTTTTTTTTTTTTTTTTACCTAGAAAATGGGAATGACATCTATTAATGATTTTATCCTTTTTTTTTTTAACTGCAAACATTATTAATAGAAAAACAAGCCTTGTTCATTGAAAAACACATATGTACTTTCTACTATGCTTTTCCTATCTATTACATGCAAACAGATTCCATGCATATGCTGAAGGAGACCTGATTCCTTGATTTACTAGACTTAGGAAAACGCACCATGTGCAAAGTAGAAGTTACAGATAGTTTGAACACTAGGTCATTAATTCATTCTGGGTCAATGAAAGTTACTTGATTGACTTTGCTGCCTAACCCATGAAAGGGGTAAGAAAAGTCCCTTTATAAGAATGTAAAACAGGTTTAAATTGTTGGGTAAGGTAAACACAGGAGTTCTTTTCCTCTGCTTTGTTTTATCACTTGTATGGTAAGGCAGCACAGTGTATAAGAATGAGCGCTGTCATGGAAATCAGAAGACTGGGATATGAACCCCTGGCTGTATGATCATGGGCAAGTCATTTGGCCATCTGAAGCCTTAATTACATCATCTGCAAAATGTTGTGAAGTAGCCTGTAAATTGGTCTATGACATTAATCTTTCCTGGTTCTAGAATAAATGCAATTAGTATCTTATTAATTTATCTTCCCCAGCAACTAGAACAATTCTCTGCAAATACTGGTATTAAGGACCATAAAATTTAGATATAAAGGGTGTTCCAGAAGTCATCTAGTTGGAACTTCTTTTTCCTCATCTTACAGAGGAGGAAAACAAGACCCAGTCCAACGCTACTGCTCTTGCCACTTCCTCCATCTTTCCCCTCCTCAGTTGTGCCATTTACTGGCAATGGAGCCTTGGGAAAGTCTCTTCAGGTCACTTTCTTCATTGGTAGAATGGGCCAGATGACTTCCAAGATCATTTACGTCTTATGAGAGTCTATGAATTCAGCTTCTGTCTGGAATTATGCTTAACTCTTACTTAGATGCCAGAATTTTGGCTAATAAGATTTAATGTGTTGATTGAATTCAATATGGAAAAATGAATAAAGGACATTTTAAAGAAACTCATAGAAAAGGAGGAGGGAAGCAGCGCGGCGTGGTGGACAGTGAGCAGGCCTTTGAAGGGAGTTCAAGTTTCACTCCTCACACATACTGGCTGTTTGACTCTGGACAAATCATTTATTCTCTCAGTGACCTGGGCAACTCTCTAAGACTGTAAGTTGGAGAAAGGGTGCCAACTTGCATTGTTAAGAAGGTCTTTCTTCACCTGGGAATTCCTTGTCCCAATGCAATCACAGGCCCAGTCCTTACCCTATCCCTATAGATCAGGGCACATAGGGAGAAATAAGCTCAGTGGGGATCATGAGCTCTGACATTCCCTTCTAACAGTACAACATCCTGTCCTTATACTTCTCCCACCTCATATTCTTTCTGATCTCTGGGCCATTCATTTCCCAGTTTATCACTCTTATTTGTTTTATGGTTCTTTCTTCCTTTTGTCTTAATCCTATAAATTTCAATTTCAACAATGCATTATCCTTCACCCTTGAACCCTGGTCAATAACCTTCAGTGGTTATCCATTTGTTTAGAAGATAAAATATAAACTTTTTATCTTGGCTCCAAAGCCCTTCTTTCATAATCTGACTTCAATCTACCTTTCCAGTCTTATTTCCCTCCACTCCTGCTCTGTACACTCAGTGTTCTGGCCAAACTGGGCCACTAGCTGTTCTCTAATCTTATCCTGCCCTTGCCCACCTCTGCATTGGTGCAGATGATTTACCATATACCTGAAATGTGCTCCCTCCACATCTGTGCCTGATGAAATCCTTCTCTTTCTTCAAGGCTCAGGTGGCACCTTCTCCATGAAGCTTTCCCTGATGCTCCAGCTCAAAGTGATCTTGCCCTCATCAAATTTCTTACAGTCCTTGGCCTGATCCTCTCCCTTTTAAAAAACCACATCCTACCTTTATTGTAGTTATTGGTGTTGGTACCTTAATCCCCTATTAGATTTCAGGCTACTTGAGGGTCGGGACTATGTATTTTTTTAAATCTTTGTAACCTTACTTCTTTCTACCATATGTGCTACACAAAGTAGGCATTTAATAAATGAGAATTTGGAGACAAGAGAAACCAGACCAAAGATGGGCAGGAAAATAAAATTTTACCTTGACATAGTAAATAAAAAGTTAATTTCTAAAAGGTTCTAAAATTTCTAAAAGTTTGGAATGAAGGAACAGAACGCTGGATTCAGAACTCATAACTTTTCATTAGAGATAACTCATGACACACGCTTTCCTTATGCTGTGTTGTGCAGCAATAAAATGGGAAAAACAATAAAGAGGGCAAAGATTGTAGCAAGGCTAAGTTAAATTCTAAGTCAGGAGACCTGAATTCTATGTTCACTTTTTGGCACAGTAGGAAGAATACTGCATTTGTAAATCAGAGGTCCAGTCACTTATTTCACCTACATGAATGGCTTCCTCATCTATAAAATTAATAGAATGGATAAGCTGACCTCCAAGGCTTCTTCCACTTCCAAAACGATGGTCCTGTGGATTGGTTCATTTTGTAATTTTAAGTCACATTGATCTCTCTGAACTCCAGTTT